TGCCGTGCCAGCGCCGTGCAGTCGCCGTTCGATCAATACAAGGCACTGACGTGGCTCTGGAACGGCGCTGGCACAGCGTTAGCGCGCGTGCAATGGACGTTACCTAGAAATAGATGGCTAGTCAACTCCAAGTTTATTCTTTACAGATGATGATCTCCAAGCAAGCCTACACCCTATCTGTCCTGGTAACTCAATATGCCTTCCCGTTATTTTCCTTGGTTTTCGCCTATACGCGAATAGCTCATCGTATGAAACTGCGATTTGCAAATCGCAATGTGGCTTGCCCAAGTTCGCTGACTGATGATCAGCGCAGGAGGTAAGAATATATAAATTTTTCGCTTTTTCAGAATAACAAGTGCCATTTCAGATCTGTCGTCGAACGTCAGCGAAGAACTCATTTACTGCTCATGTGTGTCGTAGCCGTATTTGCTATCGCATGGTTGCCTTTGAACGTCTTCCATATGGTGAGGGTGAAATAATTTTGAAAACTCTAAAAATTTGGGCCTAACTTTTAAGCATGTTATAAGTGAAGATTTGTAGGATGAGTAGATAATGTAATGATATTGTTTCCAAAGAAAATGATTTTTCCTTTATCAAGCAGTTCTGACATGAGTACTTAAATGCTCTTAAGAATTTCTGGGTAGAGGACTATATGTTGCTGAAAGGTTTGGCCCGCGCAGACATCTGTTACAGACCACGCAGCCGCACATCAGACCTACAGATTTGTATCTGCTGTCCGCGCTGGGTGGAGCCCATAGACGACATATAGTCATCCATCCTATCTTTTTTATACTCTTCTTACCATTAATCACGGTCAGCGAGACAGCCCTTCTAAGGCAGCGTCCAGAGTTGCCCGGGTGCCCGGAAGGTGTCAGCACTGTTCCAGGGCAGTGCCAGTTCCCACATGGACGAAATGCGTATTGATTGATCAATCTTGCTGAAACACTTCCGGCACGGCTATAGAACGGTTAACTCTGAACGCGCCCAATACAACAATTTTTCACTACCTTTGTTCGTGGGACTTTTGAGTAATTGTAAAAATTTACTCACAATGAACTTGTAAAACTTTTACTTTTAGGTAAATACATTTGAATGGGTTTCACTCTTCTCCGTCTCAACATTCGCCGTTTGTCATGTAGCTGCAATGTGTTCTGCTTGTTTAAACCCGCTTATCTATGCGTTTTTCAATCACAATTTCCGGACAGAATTCATCGCTCTTTTCGAGAAAGTTGGACTACGGTAAGTTTACTTGAAAATTATGTACAGTATAAGTATAGATCAAGCAAGTTTAAATTAGTGTGAACGGTCAAGAGAAACTAGATATACTTTTAAAATGGGCATATATGCGTTATTTTGAGCATACACAACCTTCTCTTGGATATCTCCTTAATTAGCAAAATTTCTCAAACGAAGCTTACCTCAGTGCATTATTAATTCCTTCAGGAAGCTATGCAGTGTCGTGCTTACATGGGAAGAGGATCGAACGCGAAAAAAGGGAATCGAACGAGAAGGGAAAACTGTCGTTTCTAAAACTAATGGAACAACTCCCTGTCCGCTAAGCCCTCGACAAGAACGACACCTGGAAGAGAGCCTTGCTTTAAACCCAGACACTGACGAACAGCTGTAAACGTATTGCCTGTAAACTCTGTTTGCAATAATTCGCATTGCTATGCATGTAAATTTTAGTCGCTTTTATGGATATGAGGCTGATCTGTGAATTATCGATTGATCCGTTACGGTTCCGAGCTCTGAGGCAGCATTTAGAGTGCTTGCGTGCCGGCGCTGTGCCAAGGCCGTGTCAATGAAGTGCCAGCGCTGTGTTGCAGCCAGTTTAGCACAGCGCTGGTACGAGGAACTGACCGCAGCCTAAATGTCTGCTGCTGCCCTGCAGCAAATCAACATTCGTTGTATATTCCAGTCCAACGATTATCGGAATATCGATGAGTCACAGAAAAATTTATGACTCAGATTTCATTAAAATGGGTTTCGGTCACACGTTGTCATATTAGGTGTCTAGTAGGATACGGTAATAATTACATAGAACACATTTTTTGATTTGGCACAATTACGTTGTTGACATGCGCAATTGATTTGTTCTGGCCATTGTAAAGTAATGTCGAGATTTTAATAAATGCTTCCACATGACTAGATCTTCAGAATTTGAAAATTAATTTGTTGAACTAATGAACTCTTCTAGAGTCATCAACTATAGAATTTTTTTTATTGTTCATTCTCCGTGAATGTTTGAGCATTTGCGAAATGGAAGACAGGGGTTAAAGGCTGCGTCCCGGCAGAAAATGTTTTCCACTTTTTCGTTTTCTTGGGGATTTATCGCCATGAGGAACCCATATCTGTAGTTTTCCGTGAAAATAACGAATGAGCCTTTTTCAAAGCTTTCCAGGGCCGCATTCAGTGGAAATACGCCGGAAGTCTTTCGCGCCCCGCCTTCCTCGTTTCGGACTCCGCCCACTTACA